GATGATGGAGATGGAGATGATGATGATATCAGATGGAGATGAGGATGATGAGGATGAGGATGAGGATGAGGATGTGCTAGGAGATGATCGAACTGACGTGTCTTGACAGACCTGCAGCGATGAACAAGATTGCAGCAAGAAACTCCTCGCGAAAGATGTGTGTGTTGCCGAGATCACATGTGCAAAGCAAGCAAAGAACTTCCTCAAGGTCTGATCCTCCCCATCATCTCTTATCCCCTCTCCGCGTGTGTTGGTTTCAGTACCTAGCCGCTGCCTCCCTTTCTCCCTCTCTCGCCACCCACCGACCCCAACCCTACTTCAAACCCCTTCCCCTCCCTGCTCCCGCTCCTTCTCCAGCTCCAGCTCCCGCTCCCGCCGCTCCTGCTCCTTCTCCCGCTGCTGCTCCTGCCTCCTGCTCCCGCTGCTCCTGTTCCTGCTCCTGCTCCTGCTCCTGCTCCTGCTCCTGCTCCTGCTCCCGCTCCCGCTCCGGCTCCGGCTCCTGCTCCCGCTCCCGCTCCCGCTCCTCCTGCTCCTGCTCCTGCCTCCTGCTCCCGCTCCCTGTTGCTCTTTCTTGGTTGATTTTGGTGTCTCAACAGGCGCTGGAGAAGGGTGATGAAAATGACATCGGGAAGAAGTACGAGGAGATGGTCAAGTGCACTATGGAATTCAAGGAGAAGGGGGAGAAACTCTTTGTTTGACTGTAGTGAAAAGATTGAAAAGATTGTTTTCAAACTCTTGTCAATGTATCCAACATCTTGTACAGGGCAAAGTCATCGAAGTAATCAACTTCTTTCTCGTCCGCCTCCTCCACGCCATCCCCAGCACCTCTCCTCAGCTCTTCGTCTGTGGCCGTCCTCCCTTGCCCTTCCTCCGCTCCTCGACAGGACAGAGACTCACTCAGTCGCGTCTCGTCTACGATCATCTCGCTGATCCTGTGGTGCCGTTACAAATCACATCAAGTTCAAGACATCTGCTAACATCTTCGTGCTCGCATCCTGCGCTGTGAGGATTTCTTCAACATGTTCTGCCATGGGTTACTTACCACAAGCTCACCACTCATGTCACACTTACTCGTTATGTTGACAGCTCCAAGACGCGTCCTCCTACGGGGAGAGTCTACAGCGGCGCTGCGGGAAACGCGTCAGATCGCGCAAGGACTACTTCGAATCAACCTCCCGTTCTCGACGGCACTGGAGGCAGAGGAAGATAGCGATAGTGGTACATGTCGACATCCACCTGCGGTACTCGACCCTCCCTCCTCCCCCGCAACCAGCAGTCCCTCCTTCACTCTGATAATCTCCTCCCTTGCCCACCGGAGGTCCATCAAGACTTGATCCTCAACCATGTCACGACGGCCCTGCGCGCGCCTCCCTTCCTCCAGCAGCTCCAGCACACCTCGAACGTCCTGCAGGCAGTGGGCGAGCTGCGATCGCAGGTACGAGATCTCCTGGAGGTACAGCTCGTTGAGCCTCTCTGCTGCTACCAACCTTGCTTCCAGTGCCTCCCGCTCCTCCACGCGCTCCCTCCCTTTCTCCTTGTCGCCAGCCTGTGTTGAGGAACTCGTTCAGTGACCACAGAGACAGGATCCACAACACGCACAAGAGAAGAGAGAATGGTCGTAGAAGCTGTCTGCTCCCGAAGATGCTGCGCACTCCTCTCTTGTAGTTCAAACTCTTCAGCCAACCCCCTCCTACTCTCCTCCAACTCCTTCAGTTCAGTCCGGAGGCTCCCTTCGATCCCCTTGACCGTCTCTCTAGTCTCCCCCTCTCCTCTCCCCCTCTCCTCTCCATCCCTCTCGTCGTCCGTCAGCTGATGAAGCCCCTTGTCCCTCGTCGCCATCCATTCCTCGATGCTCCTCCTCATCCCCAGTCCCTCCACCAACGCAGGCGATCGCTCTCGACAGCGCAAGTTTGCATGTGAATGAGAAGAAAGAGAGTCCAACGTGTGGATCGAGGAGGACGGCGACATCATAGACATGCTGTGACAGAGATTCATCACCGTGCTGTTCACAATTGCCGCCTTGGCCCGTACAAGATCGACAGAGTAAACTCCAGCGTCATTGCAGAACTCCAACTTCACTTGCGACCCTTCTCTTCCGATGATGAGCTTCACAACTTCGCCGATCTGCATGCCGGCGACCATGACGTCGTCAACTCTGACCAACATGTCTCCGATGCTGATCGCACCGCAGAGATCAGCTGGTGATCCAGGTGCTATCTCCTCCACAACCCACGTACATCCTCCGGCAGCCACTGCAGCGTGCCGCCATCACATCGCAGTCACAGCGAGGAGATGAAAGAAAACAAGAATGCAGATGGTTGGGTGTCAATGACATCAAGATGAAACAAGAAGTTGATATCATAGCAAAGGCCTCCTTCCACACATTCATACCTATTGAAGCTTCTAGAATCACGCCAAGGCCGGCCCAATCAGTGTCCGACCTCCCTTCCTGAGAATCGTATATGCTTCCAGTGCTAAGCATGTCATCAAAATTATCATACATCGTCTTCCCGCTCTCAAATGATCCCGACTTGTTGCTGATTTCCATGCAAAATCCTTGAAATCCCAATTCCTCTCGTTGTGGCAATTCTTGTTGAAAACACGTAGTAGTGAGGAAGAGAAGACAAGAAAAAGATCAATGACTTGTCGGTTTTCTCATTAAGGCGAAAAAATTCATCATCACATCATCTTCAACATGCAAGCGCTTCGTCTGCCATGTTCGTCGCCCTTGGTGCCATGGCCGCTTGCTTGCGTATTCGGGCATCGGAGGGTACCGATGTAAAACTTGTCTTTTAAAAGAACACAAATGATACCTCTTCATATACTGTTATTTTCAATTTAGACAATGAAATTTCAATAAATTCATCAACATCCACGAAATCTGACAAAGAAAAGCTCCCCTCAGTTCCGTGTCTGTAAAGGGGCCGGAAGTTTGAAAGTTCTCGCCGTCCAAAGTTTGAAAGTTTCACAACAAAAGTTTGTAACTTGCCTCGGTTTTGAAAGTTTGAATTCAGTTTTCCTCGAAAGTTCATCTTATTTCTCCAAAAGTTCCTTGTTTCGTGTCCGAAGATTCGAGACCTCTCAAAAGTTCTCAAACGCACTCAGGAAATGGCGGGAAAGAAGCGGATCGCGCAGGACACTTTCAATGCTGGTGAGGGAGAGGAAGAGGGAGGGGAGGGGGGGGGGGGAGCAGGAGGGGGAAGAACAGTGGGCCGCATGCAGGCAGAGAACAGAGACGTTGAGGGGCATGTCGAGCACAGGTAGGAGCAGATAGCAGATGGAAAGAATGAGCAGGGCTGTGAGATGGGTGGAGCAAGGAGACTTTGAAGGAGGACAAGACACGGTTGAGGAAGAAGACGACGAATCTTCTGATCGCAAACCCCTTCTCAGTGGTCAAAGAGAACATGGATGACTTCGGCATGTCCCGAGAGGAGGCCGTGGAAGATGCGATAAAACAGTTCGAAATGCAGGTGCAGGCCCCGACCCTCCTGTCCACTTTCCATGCCATGAACGTGCTTGCAGGGTGTCGATCTCAGTAACATAGCTACAACTCTGTCATGCGTCGACCAGGACGAGGTCCCGCTGGTCGTGCTGACCCGTGAATACACCGACAAAGTCAACAACACAGAGCAGCAGGGAGCACATGAAGTCTTGACCAAGGTGTTGAAGTTGCTGCGGTCCTCCTCGGACGCCAACGAGAGCAAGACCATTGCAGGGAACGCCGGGCTGCTGCAGTCGATCTTCACTGCGCTAGCTGCTGACGACCTGCTGGAGGACCAGGCCATGACCATGTTTGACTGCCTCGCGTTCCTGATCCAGGGGCACCCTACGAACCAGGAGAAGCTCAAGGAGCCTCGCGACATCGTGCATGGCTGGAAGTGCGAAGGGATGGATGCTGTCATGGGGGCCATGCGGAGGATGCCAGGGCGAGCTGATGTCCAGCTGAAAGGCCTCAAGCTGTGCACTCTGGGGGCTCAAAAGTGTGAGCCTATCAAGGCAGCGATAGTGGACCGAGGAGGGCTCGAGATGCTCAAGGGTGCCCTGCAGGACCTGAGCGAGTCGGCAGCGCTCATGGCTGAGGTCGGCAGCTGCATCCATGCGCTCGCAACTGCCGACGACCTCACGTCAATTGCCTCCAAGGCTTTCGACACTGCCCGAGATGTTTACAAGCAGGAGATGCTCCCCCTCATCTACCAGGCGTTCCGTAAGCATCGGGAGGACGTGGAGGTCGTGCAGGAGCTCGTGTATGCTCTGAAGGCCGTCTCCATCCAGGAAGACATCGTCAAGAGCGTGCTTGAAGAGGGAGGGGTCGAACTCATCAAGGACGGCATGAGGCAGCACATGCAGCATGCTAACTTGGTGTCAAGGTGCTTGCTCTTCTTCGCGAATCTTGCGGAGAATGACAAGGCCAAGACTGAGCTGTGCCAGGGAGACGCTCTGCCCCTCATGATCGAGGCTCTGCATCTCCATGCGAGGAACGCCTTCGCCGTACGCTGCGGGTTTGCTGCATTCGCCTCCATGGCCCTGAGGATGCCGGAGAACACGGAGAGGATCATCGAGCATGGCGGGGACAAGCTCCTTCTAGAGGGTATGCGGACTCATCCCAAGTTTCCCGAGGTCAACCGATATGCCATGATCGCCATCAGGAACATCGTCGTGCGACGACCAGAGTTCGTCCCTCTCTTCCTTGAGGAGGGGGCAGAGGAGCTCATCAGACGCGCTCGCGACACCCATCTCAAGTGCGCAGATGCTGCTTTCGACTGCCTACGTGACTTGGGTTGTGAGTATGGCGGGCTGGGAGACAAGGCAGGGAAAGGAGCATACTCGCCCTACATGCATTGTGAATCTTCCTTAGACAAGAGAAACCAAGTTGGCCGAGGGAGCGCGATGGTCAGCTGGGGGGAGGAGGAGGAGGAGGAGGAGGCATGAGTGTACCATAGAGAGCCGCAAGAATAAAGACTTACCTGCATCAGTCCGATCGTTCGTCTGACATTGGATCCTTGAGGGCCAGGATCTCAGAGGCTTCACCATCGTTGCACTTTCCCTTGCGCAGGAATTCCGCCAGATCGTCGATGACCTGTCAAGACGTTCAGACCAGAACGAGTCGGCGCCGCGGTCCTCCCACCTCTTCGTTGTGGGGGTTACTCTTCAAGGCTCTCCTCCTGCGGGCACAGTCAGGAGGCGGCAGGTAACGGCATGTAACGATCATGCGCACAAGTAGATTTCGGCCTTCTCCAGGTCTCCGATGCCCTTCCACAAGAATCTGGAGGAGACTTGAGCGTCTGAGGGACGTGACCGGAACCTCTTGAGTCACCTGCCGTATTCACATAGAGCCTCCGGGTCGTGCGGGCTGCTGTCTATCGCTCGCCTTGAAGCATAATCATGGGAACATACCGAGGGTCATCAATCTGACTCACAGGAAGAAAGATTCAGCTTCCTCCGTCTGGTTTTGGCCACTCAGAAAGCCTGCATGACGGCAACTATGAGCAGACTGGACAGTGATTGCAAGAGAACGTACTTCCATACGCGGAGAGGGTTTTGGGGCAATGGGGTCGTTTCTCACATGCCTGGCACATGCCGTGACTGGGCTCATCGTAGCATCCGCGGCAGCCTCACCCTCTTATAGAAGACTTGAGCCTCATCGGTGTCTTTCATCCTGTGTGCAAGGAAGTCCGCGTAGTCGCAGAGAATCTCAGCGTCGCTCGGGTTTCCTTCAATAGCACGGAGATAGTATTGCTTCGCTCCCTGTAGGACACCATCATCCTTGCTCTCAGGCCCAGCCAGGCCGCGACCTCTAGATCCAACTTCTCAGTCTCCAAGAAGTCGGCGTAGTTGGTGAGAGCGAGCGAGTCGAAGGGGTTGCTTTCAACTGCTCTCAGGTACAGCTCCTCACCCATAGTCAGGTTCCTACAGCAGGTCAGGGATGAGCAGCAAGCACGGCCATGCGTCATACCTCCTCTCTTCGCACATGAAGTTAGCTAGATCACACAGAGCCACTGGGTCTCGGGGATTGGAATTGACATTGTCCTGGAACGTCGACTCTGCCCTGTCTGTACGACATTGTTAGTCGCGCATCGTCCCTTGATCACGAGCTTTACCCAGATCTCCCAGCTCCTCCCAGAGGTAATATCCCAGCTCCCTCAGCGCGTCGACGTTGTGAGGGCTCCTCTCAACCTCGTCCAGCAAGTCCTGCTCCTCGTCTTCCTCCTCCTCGTCGTCACCATGACCGTAGGACTTGAAGCCCGGCTCCTTCGTTCCCAGCTTCTTGTCGTTCTCGGACTCGCTCCCCCTGTGCAGATGTCACAATCAACACAGTCGGTCGGAGCTTCCTGACGTGCTGTAACTCTCAGATCCGCCTCGAAGGACCACCACGTGCTGCAGGGGTTCCGCATGAGGGGCTCGCTGGAGCAGGGAGGGCGCTCTCCTGAGTCGAAGTTGCTTGCCTGCACTCGACTGCCTGTGTTTGGATAGTTCCACTCGAACCGCCCCTTCCTCAGGACACCCTCCCCGCAGCCTGTATGGCAAGCCGTGGCAAGATCCCAATGCAGAGTTCAGCGACTTGGATGTGGAAGAGGAGGAGGAGGAGAGGGAGGAGGAGGGGGCCATAGAAGTAGCTGTGGCGCTTGCCATCAGCACCATCACCGCCGCCATCAGCCGCATCATCTGCGACCACTACCACGTTCTAAAATTATTTTTCATACTTCTCTGATTATTTTTCGAACTTCTCTGGTTATTTTTCAAATGTGCATTGAAATAATCAGACATTAGTTAGAATTAGGGGGCGCCGGGGCGGGCCGGGCAGTGCAGCCGCAGCCGCAAGTTCGGAAGTGTGTCACTGTTGATCATCATGATCCGATCACTGAGTGACTGACTGTTGAACCCTTCAACACAACTCACCAAGTGAACATGATGAGCTGCCTGACTTGTCGTTTTCACCGTCTACTCACCAAGAGCATGATGAGCTGCCTGACTTGTCGTTTTCACCGTCAACTTACTGAGTTAGCATGATGAGCTGCCTGACTTGTCGTGTCCGTCCAACTTACTAAGTGAACATGATGAGCTGCCTTACTTGTCGGCCCGGTTTTCATGGTCCAACCGTTACTAAGTGAACATGATGAGCTGCCTTACTTGTCGTTTTCACCGTCCAACTTACTCAGTTAGCATGATGAGCTCCTTACTTGTCGTTTTCACCGTCCAACTTACTCAGTTAGCATGATGAGCTCCTTACTTGTCGTTTTCACCGTCAAACTTACTCAGTTAGCATGATGAGCTCCTTACTTGTCGTTTTCACCGTCAACTTACTAAGTGAACATGATGAGCTGCCTGACTTGTCGTTTTCACCGTCAACTTGACAACGTTAGATTAAAGTGAAATAAGTTCAAGGCTTCGGAGCAACTTCGATGTAACGGTTCGGAGTTCAGGAAAACCTGCTTTGTCAGGATTCAGCTATGATGCGATCATATTACAACCCGAAGCCCCACAACCGATCTATCTTAAAGAGCGAGTCTACCATCGCAAAAGCTCGCTCTTTCAAGACTCGCTCATTCGAGCTTTTGCGAATGATGCAACAGATTAGAAGATTTGGCATTAGGGGTGAGTGCGTGTGTTCAGAACTGAAATCGCAACCAAATAGAAACAAAGTTGAAGATTGCGCAACTCAACTTGTTTGTTCATCATGACTTTCAGAAAGCAGCCTGCCGAGTGCATGAGAACATGAATCGTGAAGCGACAGCAAATTTAGCGGAAATAAGAGGAAAGTTTACAAGTGTGTAATCCGTGAAACCCCAGTTCAAACTAATTGCACCTCCCTCAGCGCATGATAAGATGCGCTACAGCATTTTTAGTAGATGCCTCCGCCGACGTTGGAGAGCCATGGCTCGACTGAGCCGACGTCGACAGGGGTGGTGTTGTGCTTGAAGGGGGAGGGGCTGTCATCCAGGGAGTACCACTCGTTGTAGGAGACGTCATGTCCTCTGCAGCCGGGGTTCCACTCTGAGAGCTGTCCTGGCTTGGTCCAGCCTTGCTGACGGAGATACTTGTCATAGTCCTTGCAGACAGAGCGAGTAGTCTGGCCCGACAGTCCATAGCCCAACGAGTTTCCAGTCCACTGGTAGATGCCGGAGCCGCTGTTGTAGCCAGCAGCGTCGAAGGTGGGCTCTCCTGGCGGGTGGCCGCCGGCAAGCATGTGGTGGTGGGGGATGATGATGGTGTGGATCAGCGGCATGGCGAGGCGGCGGAGACGAAGAGCCAGTGGACCCCACTCTTTCATATTTCGCGCTAGGGGAAAGGAGGGGTCCTCTACCATTGGTCCCCCGGAGCATCGGACCCCTACCCTCAGCTTCTCTTTAGAAACGCAGGGTCCTCACAAGTTTACTGGGTGACGGTGGGGGATTACTACCCCTAGTCAACACCACACGGGCTAGGGGATTCTAGGGGTACTCCAGGCTACAGTGTACCAACAAGGATACGCCTACCCGACGGTAAATTTTTGATGACCCCATTGTCGAATATAGGGATAAGGCGACTTCGTATGACCCAGTCCTAGGGGTATTTGCAGTTGGTCATAGCACCCTACACTCTATTATGTACACTCAGATATCAACCCACCCTTGAGAATGACAATTCCGAACCACCCCCTTACACGGGACTGAACTACCCCACTGAACACCAGAAGTACCCCTCAAATGACCTTGGAATACCCCCACTCTCGGGACTTGGAGGTTAATTTCCCGGTCCGAGTCAACGGCACCACCCTACCCACCAAATTCAACCTGCCAGGTTATATATAAATACGAATAATATGTATATTTAATGCGGTAGCAAATGAAATGTAGTACTCAAGATTCTACCCAAACAAGTGAGCTCTGACATATATATATACTCTGTCAGTACTGATTTTGTCTTATTAGTGTTGTAAGTTGTACATGTTGACAAAATTGCTCAGGTGTCACAGTTGCCGTGACTGCCACTTTTGAAAAATCGGACGGGCTCTGGGGCGCACTCGGTTGTCGGTGGTATAGCTTGCAGGCACGGCGTTGACTGTGCAGTGGGGATGAGTTTGTTCTGGTATTAAACATTACTCATCGAGCTGCCCTTACCGTGGTACTACTGTGTGGAGAGTTGTGATTTCTGCCCCCAATTATACATATGAATAGCAATGAGGCGGGCTCGGCTTCAGGATCTTTGTGGAGCGAAGCATGGAGCGGTCGAAGACCAAGGAAGAGATCTACCAACGAGACCGAGGAGAAGAGGTCAGCAGAGGAAGAGAAGAGAGGACGCGAGGCGAGGACGAGAGGCGAGGACGAGAGACGAGGACGAGAGACGAGAGCACGAGACGCGAGCTCGAGAAGAGATGAGAGGATGATAGGAGATGAGCCTGAGGGGAGGAAGGGAGAGAAGAGGAGAGGAGAGGAGGATAAGATGTAACTAGACGGGAGGAGAGGAGGAGGAGATGAGAGCAGAAGAGCAGGAGGAAGTGAGAACATGACAGGACGACACGATGAAAATAGGAAGGTGAGGAGGTGAGGAGGTGAGAAGACGAGGAACGATGAGAGAACTTGACAATGATGGATGAGGGGAGAGCAGGAGGGGAACGGAAACGAGCGAGAGAGAGCGGAATGGGTGAGAAGAGGGAGGGGAACGGCAATAAAAAATCCGGAACAGATACAGGGAGGGAGAATGGAGGGAGGGAAGAAGACAGAGAGATTGAGAGGGAAACAAATAAAAGAGATGGGGATGTATGCATCAGTCAGGCAGATGATGGCGATGACGGCGACGTACACGAGGAGGAGTAGGAGGACGATGAGGAGTAGGAGGAGCAGGGGCAGGAGGGGCAGGGGCAGGAGGAGCAGGGGCAGGAGGAGAAGGAGATGAATATGATGACGGTAATGTGAATGTGATGGGGACGATGATGAATACAGCTTCATGTGGGGCATTGAAAGCAATGCGTACAACTGCAATGACACAAGAGCTGATTGCTTCGTAGATCTTCTTGGAAGTTCAAGATTTGTGCCGGTCTGCATTGATGAGCTATCATAAGGTGATATTATCTTCTCCTCACTCGTTCTGATTTTCAGGAAATGGTAGGACTGGGAAAAAGCTGTTAGCGAGCTGAAGCTTGCGGTGGAAAAGGTTTGGACTCTTGTTTGGCATGTGGTTGTCAACCTCTATCTTCCCCTTGCCTCTGTTTGACCTTTTTCTCTCCTTCCTGCATTCTCTCACGATTGACCACTTGCTCTCTCACTTCATCTTACTGTTCCCTCCCTCCCTTCCTTCCCTTCCCTCTCCTCCTCCTCCTCCTCCTCCTCCTCCTCCTCTCCTCCTCCTCCTCCTCCTCCTCCTCCTCCTCCTCCTCCTCCTCCTCCTCCTCCTCC